TTTTTTTTTTTTCTCTAAGAGTGAATAGTGGTCGATTTGGTTGCCTTAGGGCGCTGCACGGAGTCTGCTCTCCACAACTTTTTCCCTAGCAGCGTTAGTGTCTACTAGTGTTTTTTGCAGGAACCAAACAGTGCAGGGTGTGTTTCCTGGCCCAGGAGAGCTAGATTCTAATAGAGGATATCAGGCATCTCTAGTCAATAAGTCGGGAATCGTCCAAGGAGCACAGGTAAGTGGGAGGCAAATGGCGTGGGTGGTGCTCGCCATGTGACGTCAGAAAACAGTGACAAGGCCAGGGGCCACCTTGCAGAGTAGATGTGGGTCAAGCTAGTTGGATTCTGACAGAGACGGTGAGAATGTTTTGGTTTAAGATTTGGTGTTGGGGACTGGAGAGATGGCTCAGCGGTTAAGAGCATTGCCTGCTCTTCCAAAGGTCCTGAGTTCAATTCCCAGCAACCACATGGTGGCTCACAACCATCTGTAAAGAGGTCTGGTGCCCTCTCCTGGCCTTCAGGCATACAGACAGATTATTGTATACATAATAAATAAATAAATATTTAAAAAAAAAAAAAGAGCCAGGCGGTGGTGGCACATGCCTAATTTAATCCCAGCACTCTGGGAGGCAGAAGCAGACGGATCTCTGTGAGTTAGAGACCACCCTGGTCTACAAGAGCTAGTTTCAGGACAGGCTCCAAAGCGTCAGAGAAACCTTGTCTTGAAAAACCAAAGCAAACCAAACCAAAAGAAAATGCAGCAAAGAGATGTCACACCATGCAACAAGGCTCACATGAGAGGCATATTGGAAGAAAACAGAGCAGGGCAGAGATTGGTCCCTGGGGACAAGAGCGATGGAAAGGGGGGGGGGAAGAGTGGGAGGGAAAGAGAGAGAGAAAGACGTGGGAGGTGGGTAAGGCCCACCTTTTAAAAGGGGGGGGGATGTAGCAAATGTACACAGGAAGTGCTCTTAATGGCTGCAGATGTCAGGCCCCTAAGGACAGGCCCGTACAGAGGCCTAAATAGCGCTGAGGAGTAGAAGCAGATTTCTGTTAATTCAAGGCCAATGTGCTTTACAGAACAAGTTCCAGGCCAGCTAGGGTTACAAAATAGATCCTGTCTCAAACAAAACAAAACAGAACATTTTCAAAAACAACTTAAGACTCTAATTTTTTTTTTCTGTAGAAAGAAATGCGCGAGTTTGTAAAGTAAGGGAGGCATTTGGGAACTAAGATGACCAGTGTCACAAATTTTGAGTCCAGTGAACTTTCCAGTCTTTTTCTTGGAGACAGGATTCCGTGTATCTTGGCCCGTTTTGCCGCTGACAGTGTAGCTAAGGGTGATCTTGAACATCGGATTCTCCTGGCTTTCATTTCCCTGGTACTGTGATTACAGACTAGTCCCACCGTACTTGCACACCCACTTTAGGGGGAGTTAACTGATGGTCTTGGGGTGCTGGGAAGCAGTAAGGGGAAGTGGTGGGCTTGTTTTGTGTAACTGAAGGTTATGGATGGGACCGCTTTGTCCACGCCGCCCTGCATTTATCTGCCACACACAGGCATCTCCTAAATGCTGGATAAGTGAACAAGTGAGCGAATCAACTAATTTTGGGGAACTTATTTTATGTAAGACAGCGGGCTAGCCTTTTCACATTATTTCTCTCTAATCCTCATAAGTCTGCCAACAGACATTGTGACCCCCAACTGACTGAGCAGGTAAGTGTAGGCACAGAGTGGAGCAGAACTCATTCACTGGAAACCAGATCTAATTAACATCCGTCCATTCATTCATCCATCTGTCAAAAGATTCATTAACCATCTATTGCGTAGTACAATGATCATAGTACAATAAACACTTTAGATAACAAAACAGGCAGAGCTCTCTCAGGAAGACCAGTTCCGTGGCGGGATCGCGGGCACCGAAAGGGAATGGTTTCAGCACCATTTTCAAGGAATGTTGTTGCTCCTGCCTCGGTTATATAGTGGCTTGAGAAGACACCGGTACAAAGAGGTTGGAGTGCGGTCTGGGATGACCCTGGGCTAAGAGAGCCGCCGCGCGGTTCCGCTAAAAGCTTGGCTTGCAGACTTTCCACGCAGGCGCAGAAAACCCAAGACTCAGTTGAATAGCTTGCTGGGGATGGGGGTTGGGGATGGGGGGGGTGTAAGGAACGTGGGGATAATTTGAGAAGAGGGGTGTGGCTCAGGAAGCTACGCAAAAAGGAAGGCGTGGCTCGACCAAATCTCTCCTCGCCTATTTGCTTCCGCCGCCGAGGGCGTGGCCTAAGGGCTCCCTTCTCCGAAGGGCGGCGCAAACCCGGTGTTCCCTACGCCTCGAAGTCGTGGTTTAGGGCGGACCCTCGAATCTTCTGGTAGCAATTGGCTGCCTTGCTCAGGAGGTATGGCCCTACTAGACTTCCATGCCCCGTGCGGTCACTTCCTGTGGAGTTTCCCCAGTCCAGGGAGGAGGGGGAAGAGGACGAGGGGGAGGCGAGCGGTCGTTCGGGGTTAGATTGGGGGGTGTCGGTCCGTTCAGGGCGGGTGATGACTCACGGCCCATCCCATCTTCCCGACGCCGCCCGCCCGCGCAGAGCTAGCTCCATGGCTTAACGGAGGAGGCAGTGGCGAGCGGGGGGAGGGGGACTCTTATTTTGTTAGGGGGACCGGGCCAAGGCCCGACCGGCCTGGCAGGGCTCGCCCGGGGCCGGGCGTCATGTCTCATGCAGCCGAGTCAGCTCGGGACGGCGTAGAGGCCAGCGCGGAGGGCCCTCGAGCCGTGTTCGTGCTTTTGGAAGAGCGCAGGCCAACCGACTCGGCCCAGCTGCTCAGGTGCGGGGCCACCTGGGGCCGGGAGTGACAACTGAGGTTCCCTGGGTACTCACCTCAGAACATTGGGGGGCCCCGGACTAGGATTGGAGACTCTTGGCCTAGGCTTGAAGGACGTCGGGGTGCCCATCTTGGGTGGGCACCTCAGAAATCTAGTACCGACCCAACTTAGACTAAAGCTTAAAAGAGTAGTGAGTCTGCTGAGGAGGGCAGGGTCAGATTTGGGGGGCTCTTGCCCGGGTCTAGCGGGGCACATTGTGGAGTATACAGAAACTGGTCCGAGCTAGCTGAACTTGGGAAACTGGTTAGAAGCTGAATTTGGAATTGTTGAGTCGGTCGCAGAGGGATGAATTGGAGGGCGCACTGTTAGGCGAGGCACCGATTTTAAGGAAATGCTGTAATCTTTTTCCTTTAGTGTGGGAGAAAGGATCCTGGGAGGCAGAGGTGCTGTTTGGGGCACTTAGTGACTGCCGGTAGCCGCCGGCGCTGTGTTTGGGGGATAACAAATGTGGAGGGGGGTTAGGGGGCAGTCTCAGATACGCCGGGTGTGTCTCTGTGTGTGTGTTGTGTGTGAGAGAGAATAACCGAACGGTGCAACTTGATGGGCCCGTCCTTTTCCTTCTGCGCCCCCCTCCCCGTCCGCGGAGTCTGTCTAGAAATGCCGGGTTAGTGGAAGCCCCTCTTGCGTCTTGAATGTGAGCTGAAATGCGGGGCGGCCGGCAGACGGGATGGATAGATAGTTCACTCTTAGCCGTAGGAGTGGGGGAGGCCGCAAACCTTATTTGGGAACCCAGAGGAGGGTCTTGTTTCCGCTGCCACTCACCCTAGCCTCTCAGCCAGCCCTGCCCACTCCCTACCCACACCCCCCCTCTTCCTTTTATTTCGCCCTCCCAGCCAGTCTCTCAGTTCCCGGGTGTAATCTTGAATCAGTCTCTAGAGCTGGAGTGAGTACCGATTGCACCATCCCTGGCTGGGTGGGTCCTCCGTCTCTCCTCTTCTCATCCTCTTCCATCAGCCTTGCTTTGAAAACTCCAGCTCTTCCTTGGCCACAACCTTGCCCTCTCCAGTCCCCATTTTTCCCCAATTTATGTGCAGTGGTGTGGGAGTGTGGGAGGGGGCCGCCACCTTTCTGCCCGGGGTTGTGCTGAACTCAGCTACTCTCCCGGCTTCCTCTTCCCAACTTCCTGGGTGGTTTTAGAGCCCCATCTGTGGGCAAGGAGGGGAAGACCATTGGTAGACAGGGGAGAAACTTCTTACCAACCGAAGTCACAATCTTTCAGGATTCCAAACTTGACTAAACTCAAGGGTGAATATTATTTGGGGATGCGGTGGGTGGAACCAAGAGCCCCACACTTGGTGGGCAAGTGCTGTACCACTGGGCTGTACAATTCCAACAAGGATACATATTCACCCTCTATGTGTCTTGGGCCTGGACACTAGGGTCCTCTTTATACCCAGCAGGGAGGCCTGAGCAGAACCATCTTCGATTCCTTCTAACAGCCGAGACCGTCACAGTGCTGGGCACAGTTAAATGGGAGCAATGTTGTGCTGTGAGTGGAAGCCAGGGCTCTTAAATGCTAAGCAAACTCCAGCTCCTGTGTCTTTTTCTTTCTAATTTGAGAGGAAGCCTCCCCATATAGTCTAGGCTGACCTCAGCCTCCTTCCTTCATCTGAGATAAGGCTTGTTTTGTGTGGCAGTGATTGTTGATACTGAAAACGGGTGTGTGTTTTGATCTATCTAAAAAGTAGGAGGAGACAGGGCAGTTTCTTCTTAGCTAAGAATGATGCTCCTGTGGCCAGGCAGATCCTGCAGCACTCAGACTCGCTTTTTGAAGATGCTCACCGGCGGAGTGAGGGGAGCCTTTCCTCATTCAGTTCTTATATTTGGATGGGTATCAGCAGCCTAGGAACTCTGGCTGAGGCTGGAATTCCTTTGCAGAGTGATAGCTCCTGCTGCAAAGTAAATGATGGAGCCCAGAGCTCTTTGTGATGCATTCAGTTTGTGTTACAAAAAAATGGACTCTCAGCCTGAGGGGTGCCCGTACTTGCTCTGTGTGCCTGCTTACAAACTTGGGTTCACTTTCAGCTGTCGGCAAAACAGTAGGGGTGTGGGGGCTGGGAGAACTCTGAATGCGAAGCCTGGAGTCCTTCTACCAAGTGAATTGTCATTCCCAAAGTCCTCTTGATTCCCCCTCTTAAACCCAGGTTGTGGTTGTTGGAGCGAGGGAGTTGGAATCCAAGCTTTCTTATTGTTCTGATCCTTAAGGGCCTGTGGGTAGCAGTGAGGAGTGGGAAGAGGGAAAGGATATGGGACTTGTGTGGGGGAGCCCGCCCGCCTCAGGGTCTGGGGAAGGGAGGGCATTAGAGCTCCCAGCAGTCACTGACCGCCGCTCCTTCCTTCCCTCCACCCTCAGCTTCAATTCTTTGCTTCCGGAATCCGGGATTGTTGCTGACATCGAATTAGAAAACATCCTTGACCCAGACAGCTTCTACGAGCTCAAAAGCCAACCCCTACCCCTCCGCTCCAGGTAGGCCTGGCTTAACTGACCCTTCCCCGTCCCCCTGCCCACTTGAAGGCCAAGGGCCCTCTTGAGTCCACCCAACCCATTCTCCCCTTCTCAGCAGCCTGTATTTTCCCTGTGCTGGGATTGGAGGCCCGAAGGTGGAGAGCAGGTGGGCAAGCCAGCGCGACTCTGGCCTGCCCTCACCCTGCCCTACCTTGTTTTCCCTACTCGGAATTCTCGCTGGCCTGGCTGCGTGGATGGGCGTGGCCTTCCTAAGCTCCCGCCCTCCAGGGGGTAGGGCCGTGCAGCCCCTGTTCAGTCCTCCACACACCTGGCAAGCCCACCCCCCCAGCCCTGGGGCTTCCAGGCTAGTGGGTGGAAGCCCAAATGTGCTGAGTCATCGGCCTGGGCGCTTAGAGAGGGGAGGGGACCTGGAAGAGGGGCAGGAAGAGAGGATTGTGAAACCTCTGAGATTTTCAAAACTAACTGGCTCCTGGCAGCAGAACCCTGCCTGGGCAGGGAGGAAGTGGAGTCTGGGGCCCTGGAGCCCGCTGCCCACTTCTAGGAGCTCCAGATGAGGCTTAGCAACTCTCGTGTTCCCACTTCACTCCAGCTTCAGATCCACGTGAGCTCATCACCTTTTAGTAAGAGAAACTCCTATTCTTTTCCTTTTTTTTTTTTTTTTTTTTTTTTGGTTTTTCGAGACAGGGTTTCTCTGTGGCTTTGGAGCCTGTCCTGGAACTAGCTCTTGTAGACCAGGCTGGTCTCGAACTCACAGAGATTCGGCTGCCTCTGTCTCCCAAGTGCTCAAACTAAAAACTTTTTTTAATGATTTTATTTTTATTTTTTGTGCACTGATATGTTGCCTGCATATATATCTATGTGAGGGTGTTAGGCCTCTTGTAACTGGAGTTACAGACAATTGTGAGTTGTCATGTGGGTGCTGGGAATTGAACCTGGGTCCTTTAAATGAGCATCCAGTGCTCTTAACCACTGAGCCATCTCTCCAGCCCCCAATTTTTTTGTTTGTTTTTCGAGACATAGTTTCTCTATGTAGTAGTCCTGACTGTCCTGGAACTCAATTTGTAGACCAGGCTGGCCTCAGAGTCACAGAGATCCACCTGCCTCTGCCTTCCGAGTGCTGGGATTAAAGACATGCGCCACCACTGCCTGGTGAAACTTTAAAAAAAAAAAAAAAAAAAAAACAGGATTTTTTCTGTGTAGCCCTAGCTGTCCTGGCTGTAGACCAGACTAGGCTGGCCTCGAACTCACAGAGATCCACCTGCCTCTGCCTCCCAAGATACTCCTTTTCTTAGAGCCCAACTTCTTTTTTTTTTTTTTAAAGATTTATTTATTTATTTATTAAGTATACAGTGGTCTGCCTGCATATGTCCCTGCAGGCCAGAAGAGGGCAGAATATTTCACTACAGGTGGTTGTGAGCCACCATGTGGTTGCTGGGAATTGAACTCAGGACCTTTGGAAGTGAAGCCAGTTCTCTTAACCTCTGAGCCATCTCTCTAGCCCCCTAGAGCCCAACTTCTGCACTTACTCTGTGAACCTGCTCCAACTGAGGCTTCACCATTAAGACTGCAGGCCACAGTCTTTATTTCCCCTGAAACAAATGGTCAGACTGTGACCTCTGAGTGATGGAGCTTTGTCTGGTTCCAGTGTCTCCTGAGGCCCACATCCAGGCCTGGTACTTATGTTTCCTACCCACACAGAACACAGAACAAGACAGTTTCTCGATCTAGTCCAGCACAGACTGACCCTTAGGCTTGAAAAGAGACTTCTAGCTTACCTGTGACCCCATATTTCCCATTCCGCAGCCTCCCAATATCACTGCAGGCCACAGCAACCACCCCAGCTACACTGTCTGCATCGTCTTCTGCAGGGGGCTCCAGGACCCCTGCCATGTCATCATCATCTTCATCTCGGGTCTTGCTGCGTCAGCAGCTGATGCGGGCCCAGGCCCAGGAGCAGGAGAGGCGTGAGCGGCGGGAGCAGGCAGCAGCTGCTCCCTTCCCCAATCCTGCACCTGCCTCCCCAGCCATCTCTGTGATTGGTGTGTCCGCTGGTGGCCATACATTGGGTCGTCCACCCCCTGCTCAGGTGCCCAGAGAGGTGCTCAAGGTAAGGACAGATTCAGAAGCTCTGGGAGTTAGTGACTGAGAAGCGGTCCTAGGAGCTAAGGGGTGGCCTGGGGTCCAGGTGACTTTTGGACAGCGTCCATGTGGTTCTAAGGATAGGTCATGATAGTGTCTAAGTGATCGGGCCTTGTGCCAGTGTGCTGATGATCTCTTAGGTTTTCTTCTGGACTTTCATTCTGAGGATATGTAGGAAAGCCATGTGTGGGAGAGTCTCTTTCTATTGGGTGGTATCACTTAGCAGGGAACTCTGAGGATTCTGACAGCGTGAACTAGAAACTTGAGAGAACTTATTAATTTGGGGAGATGGATGTTTTCAAGGATTTCTGGAAAAAGAAGTTTAGGGTCTTGGCAGATTCACTAATATTTTTGAGATGTTCTCCAGTCTTAGGCCCACATGAGCCTAAAATTCGTTGAGTTATGGGGTCAGGCTGGGGCTCAGTTATTTCTCTTTTGTGCCTCCTCGCCTTCCCTCTCTTTTATTTTACAGGTTCAGACCCACCTGGAGAACCCCACCCGCTACCATCTGCAGCAAGCTCGCCGGCAGCAGGTGAAACAGTACTTGTCTACCACACTTGGGCCCAAGCTGGCTTCCCAGGCCCTCACCCCACCACCAGGGCCTACCAGTGCCCAGCCGCTTCCTGCCCCTGAAACTGCCCATGCCACTGGCCCTACAGGCAGTGCTCCTAACAGCCCCATGGCACTGCTCACCATTGGATCCAGCTCAGAGAAGGAGGTAAGAGTCTGTTGGTAACCTTCCCTTATGCCCTTCGTCCAGTTGTTTTGTTGTTGTTGTTGTTGTTGTTGTTGTTGGTGGTGGTGGTGGTGGTGGTGGTGGTGTGTGAATGTGAATGCTGGGTGTTGGGAACAGAACCCAGGGCCTTGCACACGCCAGGCCAGCACTCTACCATTAAGCTACTGCCACCCCTAGCCTCCCCTCCCAGTTCTTCTAACCCTGTACAGTATTTACTTCTTCCCCCAGATTGATGATGTCATTGATGAGATCATCAGCCTAGAGTCCAGTTACAACGATGAGATGCTCAGCTATCTTCCCGGAGGCACTGCAGGGCTGCAGCTCCCCAGCACGGTGAGGCCCTACAAAGGGAGGTGGTCTGAAAACTATGGCATTCTTCTGTCACTAAGACCACACCCGCACTGGCTGTGTGTATATGAGTGACCCTTGCCATGTGTTATTCTAAGATTGAGAACGGGGCTTAGACCCACCGCTGCCCTTGGGCCTTTGTTGGACTTCATGGAGAGGTGGCCCTGGTAGACTTAGACATACAGTATGGAGAGTTTATAGACATACTATTACCTGGGCACTTGGGCTGAGTACCAAGAAGTGGGAATCATGTAGCAGTTTGAGTGTCCCAAGGGATTCCGGTACTACCGTGTAGTAATCGGAACCAAAGGCTTGGGTTATAATAAGTGTTTGGACATTGTACTACTATTTGGAGTGTACCAAGTCCCTTGTGATGAATTGGGCCAAGAGGCTGGGTCCTTGTAAATGGATAAAACTTTCCAGAGCAAGAGAGCTACCATTATAACAATCTGATTCTAGAGCATGCCTTGACAAGTTAATCTCATGGCTTTTCCCAACTTACCAGGAGCCTAGCACCTTATATAGAAATGATAATGCTCTGGGGCTGGGGATGCAGCCGAGTGGAGGAGTGCTTGCCTAGCCTGTGATGAGGTCCTAGGTTCTGTCCTCAGTACCACACACACACACACACAAAGTTCTACTTTTATCCTAACTTCTCACTGTTTCGGACACAGCTAGAGGTTAGGAGGCAGATCTGAAAGCCTCAAAGGGGTTTCAGTATGTGACAGCTCACCAAGGGCTAGGGCTGGATCCACTTCTATACGAGTGTGTTGCACCAGACTGTATCTAGCATAGTATAAGAGAGAGAGAGGCAAAAACTAGGCTGGTATAAAAGCCGCACTAGCTGTGAAATAGACTAGACCACCTGAGGTATCAGAATGTGGGGGTGGACCAGTAGGAGCTTATGGTTTTTAAAGTAGTGATCACACTTAAAGCTGGGGATTCAGCTGGAACTCTCCAGAAAGCCAGATTCTGGGTGGCATGCTGCCATGATAATTTACCAAGGTCTGAAAAGACTTAAGTTGGAGTGTTCCAAGAATGCTGGCTTGGAATGCCGTGCTGGAAGCAGCTAACGGCCTGGAATGTCAGACCAGAACTGACAGACCTGAGAGCTGGGATTTTCCAGCATTTTTCTTCTCAGAGCCAGCCCGAGAGTTGTTTTGGAGAAGGGCTTCAGAAAGACCACTGAGGCATTTGAGGGGCTGGGTAGGTGGACCCCAACCCCTACAAACCAGAGTAAGTTCACCTGGTTCTGTTCCTGCTGTTAAGTGCCACGTAACACTTCCCTGAAGGAAAAGGGGTCCCCTGGAATCCCCGATCCTTGCATTAGAGGGCTCTGGCTTTTAATATGTGAGGGTCAGGAGCCCGAGTTTGAGGAGGCTGTGCTGTGCCTTTGGTGTCCGCAGCTGCCTGTGTCAGGGAATCTGCTTGATGTGTACAGCAGCCAAGGAGTGGCCACGCCGGCCATCACTGTCAGCAACTCTTGTCCAGCCGAGCTGCCTAATATCAAACGGGAGATCTCTGGTAAGTGCTAGGGTCTTGGCCCTTTACCCCACCCTGTCCCTTGAGTCAAACCCTGTCACTGCCAGGTCTGGAGCTAGACCTGACTCTAAGGAGAGGGTTTGAGCTTTTCAGAAACAGGTTGAGGCTGGGGCTCGGAGGGTAGCTTAGTATCTGAAGACTTTAGGTTCCATCCGAAGTACCACAGAGGAGAGAAACAAATCCAACTGCTCCCCCCCCCTTTTTTCCCCCTCATGTGACTCTTGGTCCTACTTTCACCTCATTTTCTCTGACTTCCTCTTGGGTGCAACAGAAGGCCTGTGCCACCATGCTTTCATTAAAAAAAACTAGCAAAGAGAGGCATTTTTGTTTATTTTTTTGAGACACAGTTTCACTCTGTAGCCTAGGCTGACCTCAGATTTCCAACAGCCCTTTTGCCTCAGCCTCCTGAGTTCTGAAATTACAGAGCTATGCCCAAATGCCCAGTTCTGGAACTCCCTGTATAGCCCAGGCTGGCATTGAACTTGGAGCGATCTTCCTGACTCTCCTTCACAATGCTGGGATTATAGGCACGAACTACCATGCCTGGCTCAAGACATCTTTGAAAGCAGTCAACAGGTATGGTGGTGCATGGTCCCAGCACGTGGAAGGTTTAAGGCCAGTATGAGCTATATATTGAGACCCTGTCTTTAAAAAGAAGACAGAAGGAGGAGAAGAAAGAAGAAAAGAAAAGAAGGAAGAAGAGAAGAATTAGAAGAAGAAATTGAAGTTGTCATTCATCATCATCATCATTGTTGACATCAGGGTCAGTTAACAGCACTGGCTGCTCTTGCAGAGGACCTGGGTTTGATTCCCATGACTGCTCACAACTATCTGTGACTCAGTTCCAGTGGATTCAGAGCCCTCTTCTGACATCTTTGGTTCCCAGGCATGCATGTGGTATCTATCACTCATGTGTGAAGGCAAAGCACCCATACATAGAAAATAAAAATAAATCTACTTTTTAAAAAATCCCTCCAAGTCTGGCTCTGTGCCAAACTCTAGTTGCAGCTAATTTGGAGACTGAGAAGGAGAATGGCTTAGGTCAGGTGTTCAAGGCCAGCCTGGACAACAAAGCAAGACCCCCATCTCTAAGAAAAGTCACACCTTCTGTCCCTCTCCCACTAGCCCCTACCTCTGCATCTTCAGGGACTCTGCTTCCTGTATCCAGAAGCCCTGATATCCACCCTCACTCTCTTCCAGAAACCGAGGCAAAGGCCCTTTTGAAGGAGCGACAGAAGAAAGACAATCACAACCTAAGTAAGCCCCAGAGCAGGCGCATTTGCCCACCTGCCACTCAGCCCTGCCGTGCTCCTTGCTTCAAGGGCCACCTTCCATGGGGAGCCTCCCAGCACCCCTGTTCCTCTCTTTCCTTTACCCATTGATGACTCTTTCCTACTCTTTCTTTTTCTCCCCCTCTCTTGAAAGTTGAACGACGCAGGCGATTCAACATTAACGATAGGATCAAAGAGCTGGGCACCCTCATCCCCAAGTCCAATGATCCGTGAGTCTGGGCTGGGGACCCCAGGCCAATGGGAGGTGGAACAAGCACCCTGGACCAGGAAAGTTGTTCCTTGGTGTCTGCCATGTAGTCTTGCCCAGACAAAAGTTCTCTAAACCAGATGCTGAGGCTCATACCTGTAATTCCAGCACTGGGGAAGCTGGGGCAGAAATATTGCCATGAGTTGAAGGCCAGCCTGGGCTACATAATAAGTTCTAGACTATCCTGGTCTACAGAGTGAGACTCTGCATCAAAAAAACAATACCTCCCCTGGAAAGAGCTCTCTGCCTTTTCTTAGCTGGGGGACTGTAGCCCCTCAGACTGCAAACAGGCATGTCAGTTTGTCCTATCTGCACCCTGTTGAACACAAGTGTTCCAGTCATTCAGTACTTTTTTTTGCTTACTCAGGATTTAGTTATTGGGCCTTTGCTTTGTAGCAGGTAGTCTGCTAGGCTCTGAGCATAGCAGAGGGCACAAAGGAGAAGACCCTTGTCCTCTTGGATCTGATACTCTAGTTGGAGCATGTAGACAGTTAAGACAAGTACAACCCTGCCGGGCGCCCGCCATTAATCCCAGCACTCAGAAGGCACAGGCAGGTGGATCTCTGTGGGTTTGAAGCCAGCCTGGTGTACAGAGTGAGTTCCAGGACAGCCAGGGCTGTTACACAGAGAAACCCTGTCTTGTAAAACCAAAAAAAGAAAAGACAAGTAGAATTTATGACACATGTTCTAATGAGGGTTGTAGAACATAATGAACAGAAGGGAACAGGGCCTGTCATCCCAACACTCAGCAGTCTGAGGCAGGGGGATCTGCAGATTGAGGTCAGCCTCAAAACAACAGGAAGAACACAGTGGGGTTTGAAGAGATGACTCAGCAGTTAAGAGTATTGGCTACTTTTCCAGAAGACCTGGGTTTGATTCCCAGCATCCAGATGGTGTCCATGACTCTAGTTCCGATACCCTTTTCTGGCCTCCGTGGGCCACAGGCAGGCACTATTAGAGCACACACATAGATGCAGGCAAAACGCCCATACGCATAAAGTAAATAGATCTCAGTAAAACTTTTTAAAAACAACCAAAGGAGGATGGGCGAATGTTGGGAAAGCGAAGCAGGGTGTGAGGAGCATAGGACTGAGCAGGCCTCAGCTGACAAACGCTTGAGTAGAGAGCCTGAACATGGAGCTGTGTATAACTAAGCACGGTGCTTGCCTACTGTATGGAAGGCCCGTGTTCTTTCTTCCCTAGTGCCAAGAGCAGGGATGGACAAGATTAAGGGGGCCACATGGTGGACAGAGAGTGCTCCCGGTGAAGGTTGTATCCAAGTACAGGGTCTGAGATGAGAGTCATTTCCCATGTGAACACTAAGAGGCCAACCTCGGCTATTGTGGGGGAAAGGAGGCAGAAGGGGTCATGGTACAGAGGGCTTTTAGGTCTTAGGGTATAATGACCACCAGTGGAAGATTGCAAGCAGAGGGGTTTTTGTAAGCATTCTAACCGTTTGGTTTACCTCAAGTTGTGATGTGGTCAGATACTCCATCTACCTGGTACAGTCCCCTAAGAGACTTCATATGCAGCACTCGGTCTTTCCTCCCTCTTGGGCCCCACAGGGAGATGCGCTGGAATAAGGGCACCATCCTAAAGGCATCTGTGGACTACATCCGCAAATTACAGAAGGAACAGCAGCGCTCCAAAGACCTGGAGAGCCGGCAGCGATCCTTGGAGCAAGCCAACCGAAGCTTGCAGCTTCGCATTCAGGTTTGGGGGAGGGGAGAAAAGGGTGAGGGTGACTGGAACTTCCAGCAGGTGGAGGCAGAGAGAGAAAGGGCAAGTTTTCCCTTTGGGCAGCTCAATTCAAATGATATGGAAATAATAAGTAATTAGAACACCATTAACAAGACTAATAAGGATACCTAGAATGGTAGGCCACACCTTTAATGCTGTACCATTCAAGATCAGAAACCGGTGGATCTGTGAGATCAAGGGTCAGGGCTGTATAGTGAGACCTTGATTTAAAAAAAAAATAATTATTAATGGTGGATCACAACAATTTGTAACTCCAGTTCCAAGGGATCTGATGCCCTCTTCTGGCTTCCACAAGCACTATACACATGCATATACATGCCGGCTAACCACCCGACTAGGTAGTGGTGGCACACGTCTTTAATCCCAGCACTTGGGAAGCAGAGGCAGGCAGATCTCTGAGTTCGAGGCCAGCCTGGTCTACAGAGCGAGTTCAATAAGTAAATAGGGAGATTCTCAGCTGAGCATGGTGGCACACATTTAATCCAGGGAAGCAGATTTCTGTGATTCCAATGCCAACCCGGTCTACATAGTAAGTTTCAGGACAACCAGAACTACATATTGAGACCCTGTTTGGGGGGGGAAAAAAAAGGAAAGGGAGATTCTCTAAATAATTAAAAAATAGTAGCAATGAATATTTGCTAATGCGCATGGCATGTATCTTATGCACTGTAACAAGCGCTGTATGCCCTCTTAACACATTTAATTCACAGAAACAGCCCTGTGGAATAACGCGCCATTGTACCATTGTACAGATTGGGACTCTGGAGTTCAGAGGTTGCATTGGAACCTAGTAGCCTGCCCTTTTCATGAGTACACTCCTCTATCCATGAGGGACTTTGAACCCCATCTTATTTTGCACCCACTCCTTTCTTTTTGCAGGAGCTAGAACTGCAGGCCCAGATCCATGGTCTGCCAGTGCCTCCGACCCCAGGACTGCTCTCCCTAGCCACTAGCTCCGTCTCCGACAGCCTCAAGGTAGAGCAGCTGGATGTTGAGGAGGAGAGCAGACCGAGCGCGACCACATTTCATGTGTCAGGGGGACCTGTCCAGAGTGCGCCTCAGCAGCAGCCTCCAGCACCACCCTCAGATGCCCTTCTGGACCTGCACTTTCCCGGCGACCACTTGGGGGACCTGGGAGACCCCTTCCACCTAGGGCTAGAGGACATTCTGATGGAGGAGGAGGGGGTCGTGGGAGGATTGTCAGGGGGTGCCCTGTCCCCACTGCGTGCTGCCTCTGACCCCCTACTTTCTTCAGTATCCCCGGCTGTGTCCAAGGCCAGCAGCCGTCGCAGCAGCTTCAGCATGGAGGAGGAGTCCTGATGAGGCCTCACTCCTCCCCTTGGACTTCCCCACCCAAGGAAGGAGGACAAGCCTGGATGAGACCCTTTCCCCTACCCTCCTGTGAGACTGCCCGGTCCAGGAAATCTTGGGGAAGAGGAGTTGCAATCAGGCCCCACCCCTGTAATAGGCAAGGAGGAGGAATCAGGTGAGGCCCTGCCCCTTTTCCAAAGGAACCACCCTGCACAGGTATTTTTGAGGGAGGTGGCAGGAGAGCACTGCGAAAGATCAGTTCATCTGAGGATCACAGCCATTCCCCGGCCCTACTCCTGCCAGGATAAGGTTGTGCCCCTGGCCACTAGGGACCCTTATAAACAGGTCTCCCAAGGAAAGGAGATGCCAGGATCCTACTCCATTCCTTCTCTGGGGATTGCCAGGCCAGCTTTTCCTGGTACTGGAGGAAGAAAAATAAAAATGATGGTGTCCCACCCCTAGAGGGTTCAACCTTATCTCTTCCTTTTGCCCCCTGCCCTGCTCTGGGAAGGAACCAAAGTAAGGGTATGTTCCAGCCTGTTCCCCTGACAGGCGCCCCTTTTCTGTAGGAAAGGCCCACAGCACAGGTATTTCAGGTATGGAGAATTTCCCTGTACAGGCCCCAGCCTCAGCCCTGACCCTTAGCACCATCCCATGCAAGCATTCCATTCAGCAGGGAGGAATGGTTCCTAAACTCCCTGCCTTAACCTAGGACCAACCTGGGACCTGACCTATGACAGCTCTGTGCCGACCTTGTTCTTGGGGAGGGAACAGATTTTAAATCTTGTGGTTTTGACTTTCTAGACCTAGATTAAGAGTGAGATTTAGATCCTCACCCCTCGGGGAGATCTTGCCTTTTCTGCCTTAAGGGACTTTGGGGAAATGATAGAAATTAGTGTGAACCCAGTCTAGGCACCTCAAAATACTACCCTAATACTACTTCTCTCCAACTTACAGAAAATGGTAAAGAAAGGGCATGTCCAGACTGTTTCCTAGCCCAGGGAAAAAGTCTCCCCCAAAAAGCAGAGGCCTGGAGGAAGGGTAGCAAAAGTATATTGTACCCCTCATTTGTTTATGGGATTTTTTTTTTTTTTTTGGTTTTATGAGACAGGGTTTCTCTATGGTTTTGGAGCCTGTCCTGGAACTAGCTCTTGTAGACCAGGCTGGTCTCGAACTCACAGAGATCCGCCTGCCTCTGCCTCCCGAGTGCTGGGATTAAAGGCATGCGCCACCACCGCCCGGCTATGGGATTTTTTTTTATTGAGCCCTCCTATTCAGAAGCCGGGTCAGCCCTGACCTCTGTCCCTCCCACACAGTTTTCCCTTTGGGGACTACCCCAGTTTCAGAGCCAGTCCCCACTTAGCCCCATCCCTGCCACCTGCACCCCAGGTCTTCAGCTTTAAATTGCTGGGGCCGGGCCCCAAGGAGGGTTTACTGAGGGGTCTGTAGGTTTGTGACATATAATAAATAATGTCTAGGCGTGTTTGATGCGCTTTTAACTTTGGCATTGAGTCTCTTGTTCTTGTTTTTGACTGCGCAGTCAGTGAACATGGCCCCTGCAGGCTAGGTGGAATAACAATTTTAGAAGAAACGGAACAGATTTCAGAGGGCCAACAGAATTTTTAGATAGAATGAGAGCCTAGAGGGAAACCACCTATAAGCAAAAGCAATGAACCCACTTAAGGGTCGGCCCCTGAGCAGCCAAAGTGCTGTGCTTTCCCCGATATATTTCCCCAGGGGTGCTCTGTGTGCTGCTGCTGCTGCTGCTTCTGCTGCTTCCATTTGCTTTTCAGAGAAGCCAGGAGGAGAGTCAGGAACTTCTACAGACAGGTAGCCTGTAAGCACGCCAAACCTCAGTGCTGTGCGTGGGAATGAAGGAGAAAGGGAGATACTCAAATTTTTCCTTGCAGGCTCACTTTCGAAACTGACAAGGTATATGAGGTATTCAACAAAGGTATTCAAGATGGTGGAAAAGACAAAAAAGGTGCAGGGAGCAGGCATTGCCACCATGCCTGGAATTCCAACATTTGGGAGGTTGGGATAGGAGAGTTTGCAAGTTTAAGGACAGCCCAGGCTACACAGTCCCTATCTCAACAACAGAAAATACGGGGAAATGGGGAAACACATTAGTTTGAGGTTTCAGGGTGCCTAAATGGAGGTAAGTGCACATGTAATGTCTTCATGTCTCATGTGGTTCAAACTGGCTTCGAGTGCTGGCTCCTCCACCTCTTGAAGACAGTAATTACATACCTGTCTTGCAACATCAAAGCTGGGAAGAATATTTTTCTCACAACACTTCAACCAGATTGATAGCCAAGACAAGCTTCAGCCCTTAGTTATCACCACCATACTGGGCCCTATAGATGGCCAGTCCTGGCTATCCTATCTCTCCCATGAGAGTAAACCCAGTGCTTAGGAGGCTGAAGCATGCCCAGCACTCCCAAGGTTGAGGCAGGAGGATGGCTGTGAATTCAAGCTATGCTGTGAGGTTTTGTCCCAAAACACCAATAGACAGGTAATAATGGCTGAGCATAGTGGTAAAGACACTTGCCGCTGAACCTGATAGCTGAGTTCTGTCCTTTGAACTCGCACAGAGGTGGAAATAGAGAACCAAGTCCAGGGAGTTGTCTTCTGACTGTCATGGCATGTGTGTGGCCCTCCACATGTGGGTCATGACACGTGTTCTCATATAACCCACACAACTATACGACAGCCCCGCTGGGTAAAAAGCACCTAAAATCTCAGCACTT